AGAGCGGAGGTTGGTCGGCGAAAGAGAAAGGAGCGTAAAAGAGACAGAGAAAGAGGCGACCACTACGCTACAGGATAGGTAAGAGAGATACGGTCGTTGGCCGGTTCGGGCAAGGCTGCTGGCAAGGAGAACCAGGGCTGTAGTTGCAAATAAAACAGACGGGTGCACTCTCCATCGACACCGGTGTATAATAACGGAGTAGCTTCGATAAAATATACGCGAGTACTTTCGTTGTTTTCCGAAGCGCAGCCGGGTGAACCGGTTCGGGATAAAAAGGCTCGTTTGGTTACCGTTAAAAATCCTCTTACTCGCGAGTATGCTCTCGAGCAAGGCGGAGTGTAACAACGAAAGGGACAGGTCGCGATTTTCGCTTAATTCCTACGGTTTATCGGCGATAACGTTCGGTTTCGACGAAATTATCGCGATGGACGGTGAAGTCGGTCGAATACGGTACTCATAGGTAAGTATTTCTTCGACACAGGGTAGAGTGGAGAAAGAAAGAAATAAAATAAGAGAAAAGAGATAGAGAAAGAATAGCGTATGCGCGATGATGCAAACTGTTCCAACGCTTTCACGGTAAGTGCTCCTCGGCATTAATCATACCAGCCGCTGTTAACTGGATCGAATCGATTTATTATCGAGGTCTCGAGGTATTCCTCGCGATACGCTCGTGTTCAAAGTTCAATCGTATTCGTAACTTTCGATCCCGTCGATCTAGGATAGATACGGTTTCGCGCTCGTCGACGCGGTCGAGGATAACACCGTGGAGGATAATTGGGAAAACGAGGAAATATTTTTACAGCAAAGGCGAAGAAGGAAGAGAACGGGACGACAGGCGGATATCTATCCCGGCGCGAAAGCGTGACGAAAAGCGGGACGATCCTCGGTCGCGATGTCCGTCTGGACGTTAAGAGCAATCCCGCAGCCGACAGACGCGTGGCAAAACGTATTACAGCCCTGAGAACAAGTCCGCGTTGCCGTTTCGCCTTATAATTCCGAGACGCGGAATTCTCCGGTCGGTCCTTGCTACGCGAGTATCCGAGTACCGAAGAGTATCGGTACAAAGGAACTGCGAGGACAAAAGGATAGTTGGCGGTGTGTACCCCGACACGGGCCACACCGGGGGGATTCTTTCCTTAAATCCGAAGCGAAATCGCCAAGCTCGAATTCCTGGTCTCGGTGAAAATAAAACGCGTGGCGCGCCAAGTGGCGGCGAAGCGGAGCGGAGTGGAGCGGAGAGGGAGAACGCAGCGGGTGAAACGGGGGCTGAAATGGCCAGGGGATGGAAGGCGGAGAAGGTGGTGGTGGAGGTGGCTGAGGGGAAAATAAATCGATAAACGCCTCCTACTGTGCGCCCGGAGCACGGAGGCTCAATTAATGGAATAATAATGTAGACTACGCGAGCCGGAGAGAGGGAGTTCCGTTACAAGATATCGGCTGGAATTTAGCAAACAACAATTATCTCCGTTCACTCGTCCGTAACTTTCTCGTTGTCGCGGCGTTGTCTCCTACCTCCGGTAACTAATTCTCGTATCACAGATGGTACACCGGTTAAAACTTCGACTTGGGCCGCGCCGCTCCGGACCAAGTTCATTCGGGCTTGACTTTCCACGATAGGAGCCGCCGGAGCAGCAGCGTGCTAGCAACGATGGCAGTAGGCAGCGACGGTGGCAACACCAGCGGAGAGAGGCATTCCGAAACTTAGACAAACGGTGACCGACCCAGAAGCGAACTAGTCGAGCCGGCTGACCTAGAAACACATCTAGAAACAGCGCAGGGGCCGTCGAAATAGCCCGAGCAGCGCGACAACCGGCAGGCTCGACGCTGTTCCGCCGGCTTTTGTCCGCCCAGAGATGGAATTCGGTTAGCAAGATTGCTCCGTGCTGACCGTTCGATTTCCTCTGCCGGAAATCGAGAAGAATTTCGGCAGCCGACAACGAGGTCGAGCGGTACCCACCGCGTTCTCCACCTACCTTTGCCCACCCACTCTCGCGTGAATGGCGCGCGGCAAGGCCGTCGTAAAAATTCATACACCTTTTGCCCGGAGTCAGCACCTCGACTGAGGATCAAGCGGACAACTATGCGGCCAATGGTCGTGCGAAACGAGCGAGTTGTTAGACAAGTACGGGTCACGAGGTAACGAAACAGGTTGGCGGGTTGAGGAGAAAGGGGGCGTGAGAGAGATAGGGGGAGGGAAAAAACGAGAAAATAGAAAATAAAGGTCCGCTACTGAGATTCACCGAGTTGTAGAAGGTACCGTCTGGAAAGTTGGATCGCTCGCGTTCGATAATTTCGATCGACGACATGCTCGAACGAAATCGCGACGGGACAGGACGGGACGGGACTAAAC